CCCTTAGCAAGTTCACAGATGACACTAAGCTAAGGGGAGAGGTACATATGCTGGAGGGCAGGGATAGGGTCCAGAGTGACTTAGACAGATTAGAGGATTGGGCCAAAGAAATCTGATGAGGTTCATTAAGGACAAGTGTAAAGTTCTGCACTTGGGACAGAAGAATCCCAAGCATTGTAACAAGCTGGGGACCAAATGGCTAAGTAGCAGTTCTGAAGAAAAGGACCTGGGGATGACAGTGGATGAGAAGCTGGATATGAGTCAACAGTATGCCTTTGTAGCCAAGAAGGCTAATGGCACATTAGGGTGCATTAGGAAGAACATTGCCAGCAGATCCAGAGAAGTGATTATTCTCCTTTATTCAGCTTTGGTGAGGCCACATCTAGAGTACTGTGTCTAGTTCTGGGCTCCCCACTACAGAAAGCATGTGGACTCATTGGAGAGGGTCCAGAGAAGGGTGACCAAAATGATTAGGGGGCTGGAGCGCATGACCGATGATTAGAGACTGCGGGATTTGGGTTTGTTTAGTCTGCAGAAGAGAAGAGTGAGGGGGATTTGATAGAAGCCTTCAACTTCCAGAAGGGAGGTTCCAAAGAGGCTGGAGAAAGGCTGTTCACAGTAGTGACAGGTGGCAGAACAAGGAGCAATGGCCTCAAGTTACAGTGGGATGTAGGTTGGATATTAGAAAAAACTATTTCACTAGGAGGGTGGTGAAGCACTGGAATGGGTTACCTAGGGAGGTGGTGGAATCTCCATCCCTAGAGGTTTTTAAGTCTCGTCTTCACAAAGCCCTGGCTTGGTTGGTCTTGTTGGGATAGGTCCTGGCTTGGGCAGGGGGCTGTACTTGATGACTTCCTGAGGTCTCTTCCAGCTCTATGATTCTATGATTGTGTTTACGTGTACTGCATTTAAATACTGTGATATATCTGCTTTCCTAACTTGGGAAGTAACTTCATATTGCTTATGTTGATGAGATTTCTGTGAACTGAGCGCAAATGAAGTCCTATTGTGATTTTTCATTTCAGTGTTTGTTATCTACAGGCCTGTCATTAACAGCATCATTTTCAAATGTGCCCACTAATCTAGAGTTTTTAAGGTTACTTGATATCATTTTGAGTTATAGATGCTTAGTACCTCTAAAAATGAAGCCTAAATGTATTCCAGCTTTTAAAGAAGTATACAAAAATAAATCCTTGTCAGATTCTTCAAAACAAGGTGGTATGTCCTGACAAATTCAGAACAGGAAAATGTCTGATGTGTTATTTAATACAGGCTGCACTGCAAATAAGGTAACACCACTATAATTCACAGAGAGAGTTACTATAACATTTTAACCAGTTTTATTCCCTGCAATTTCTGTACAATTTAAGGCATCCAACAATTCGTTTTTTCTGGTTGTAATAAGTAGCCCCATTTAGTGTAGCTTATTTTCTGGAGGCTGATTTACATAATGTTTAGTCTTCTTTACTACTTTCACTGTGACATGGCAATCTTCCATGTAGTCCCATAATCTCAAAGCATAATGAAGCCTTCAGAAAATCAAGA